ATGCTCCAGTTATATTAGGTGCGTTTTCTGTGACTATAAAAAAAAAAAAAGAAAAGAAAACCTTTCTCCTTTCAGCTGCAGGCCAATACCCCTTTCTGTTTTCAGAATGTATCTGTATTTTGCTCAATTACAACTCCTCCTGTCCTTTCCCAGCTCTTTTAAGGCTCTTCGTTAGCCTGCTTTTACCTAGCGGCTGGCAGTACGCTTGCGTGGACCGCAGGTTGCTGGATGAAAAGGAAGCAGCCAGGGAGCCTGATGCAAGAAACTGCTGCACCAGAGCCACGGAGACTGAGCAAAGGCTTTGGGGAGAAACTCTTGATTTATCAAGCCAGGTAATTTTTCTGCTGTAACCAGTACCCTTGTGGAGTAAATGGCTATATATTTTCTTTAATGAGCAGGAACTATGTATTCTTGGAGTTACTCCCCACACAAAATATTTTAGGCCAGTTCATCTACGTATAGTTAAGTTTGACTTAAATTTTTAAGTAAGTACTTCATGCTAGAACAGGCAGGGCTACAGAGCACACAGAGCTATGATTTTTATCCCCGGGCTTCTCACTGCCTTTTGCTAGCAAAGGGGAAACAGATTTGTGCCCAGCAAAGACGACTGCTTGCTGCTGCCCTGGCCCCGAGCAGCCCAGCAGCACAGGGGAGGAACTGCACCAACCGTATCTACCTGGAGCTTGCAAACTGCCTTAGAGATAGGGAGCAGTGGGGCTAAACCCGCGTGTTGGTAGCAAACAGCGTCCAGCGCACACCACATCGTTCTGAAACCATTAATATTACTCAACGAGGCTGAGAAAAAAGCAAAATGGTCCTGTCAGAGAATGCCATATAAGTGTTGGATTACAAGACTGGAAGCGAAGTTAGAAAAAAAATAATATCCCAAGCAAGCTAGTTGTCAAAAACATACCTGAAATGGTTCTCTGATCCTCACCATGATGAAGACCCCTCCTCTTCCCCTCCTCCCTAGAACCTTCTAGCCCTTTCTGTGGCAGAAACAGCTTCAGCAAATACTTTGCCCTTAGTTAAACATTAACTCACAGAACCTGCTTCCCTGATTAACCTGATTATGCCCTGTGATTAACTCTGGCCACTGCTAATGGAGGGGCTGGCAGCCTTCGCTTTTATAGCCCCGGGATTTTGTGCACCTTGTTCTGTGTGTTGGGGAATAGGGTACCATTTGGCTAAGCTTACCCAAGATAGAAAAATGTTTTTGGACATAAATGCCTCATCTTTGACTTAATACAAACAATGCTAACACAAGGTGAGCACGAAGTGCTTGGTGTCTGTGTAATTTTGTTGTGCGGGACCACAGAACCGGGGTTCGTAACCCATATCAAAAGCAAGGTGCTGGTGTCCTGCCTGCTGGCTGCTCAGGTTAGATCGACAATTTCTAACACACCCAAGAAAAGAGCTGGATGTTTGGCCTCAAGGAGATCTGAGGCATGTTTGCATCTATCATTCCTCTTCAAAATGACAAGATATTTCCATTTCTTAGCGGTGAAGCATAAGAGGTGTGTGTGAGTAAGGTGCAGCACCCGTGTGCAGGGTGTTTTGGTGCAGAACAAGCTCTGGGCTCAGGTGGAACCTGGAATGTCTGTTTTTTCCCTTGGGCTTCGCTTGCTTTATTCTGCCGGCACAGTGCTGAGGTGTACCCGCTGCTACAACCACCCCTCGACACAGACTGCCACGGGCCTTCGCCCACCCCGAAGGGGAAATCTTGCAGTGCTGGGAAGGAAAAGGGAAGTCGGCTCGGTTCCTGGGATCTTGCCAAGGAGGAAAAGTCTGTGGGGAACAAATGATGAGGCCGTTTCTATTGGAGGTGCTATGGATGTGTGTTTGCATAAAAAATAAAAATCCGTCTGACTTCCATCAGCGAAAGCTGGGGGGTGACGCAAACCATGAAATGTCCCTGGAGATAAGGGCAGGCTCTGGGAAGGCACGGTAACTAGCACGTGGAACGGGCTACTAAATATAGCACTGGAAGCTGCAATCAGGAATATATCTTCTGCAATGCTAACCAATTAGAGGGAGTGACATTAAACTGGTATACAGTTTCCACCAATTTCCATATTGGAGATGTTTCTTTTCCAGAAACTCTCCTTTTGTAGAAAGAACTGTTGAAATTGTGTGTCTATATGTGATCTTAGGTGCAGGTACTGCGATAGCGGTGCTGCGATTGCACCACTGGAATGACTGCAAAAAGAAACATGGCCATCAAGGGCTTTATAGCTGCTGCTGAATCAATTACATACATTTTTATTTAGAAATAGCATAGACCATACTCCTCTTTTACACACTCATTCACAGCCAAAGGAGTACCTGCCACACCAGCAGAGGTCTGCCTGTCACTAAATGCCGCTGATCAACCGCTTTCAAAGCTGGCCGGGAGGAATGACTGGGCCCTCGGAAACAGTGCCGCATTCGAACAAGGAGTAGTGACGTGTATTCTCCGCGTGCTCGCAATAAAATCAAATTGCGCTGTTTGACCAGCAGTCAAATGCTGTTGAATTATACTCAGTATGTACCATCTCATACTGTAACGACTAGTTACAGAAGAGTATTTCTGGATGGGACCGTAGCTCCCACCCAGAAAGGATGCAGTGGCTGAGCAGTGTATTTTAGCAACAAACTACTTCTCGCAAGTTTCTCCTTTCAAAGGCACAATCTGGTTTAGACTGAAGGAGAATGAAAGCCACACCGCTTTTAGCTATTAGCAATCACAATAACCTCTCAGGGAGTCTTACTTTCTTTTAATGTATGAGAACCGCAGTTTATCAAGGAGAAAAACCCCAACATTTCATTGCAGACTGTTTGGAGTTATGCCAGAAGCACCTGAGGATGGGGAAAGCAGTCACGCTCGGTGCTTTGATGCTTGCTGACAGGTACTATATCAGAGAAAAAGGCACAGCATCACTTTTTGAATTACAATGTTTGAGTTAGTTACTTTAATATAGTAATTCAAACATTAATACCTTCAAATGGACATCTGCAATGACACCAGCTGTGTTTTGGTTGGCATAGGCAAACACATGAAGGTACTTAGAGGCAAAGCCAGAAAGAATTTGGCTACTGTGGCATGTAGTCAAACCTGCAGTTGCCAGAACAGGACCTGCAGCCCTGAGTTAAGCCGCTGGCCTGAGCACCGAGGGATGGGGGCAGCTCCCCCGGCCGACGCCGGGCAGCAGAGAGAGCGATGTGTGACCAGAGGAGGGCTGCGGAGGGAGGCCGGTGGTTAGGGCTGCTCTCTTGGTCTGAGTACCTTTCTTTATAAGCCCAGCCATCAGTAATCTTAATGGTTAAAGTCAGTAACGGAGACATTTGGTAAGCACCTTACGTACAAAGGGGTGCCAGAGTCCCCTAGGACTTCCTCAATATGCAGCTTAGGGTATTTTTCTGTCCGAGATTACAGCAAAAGGTGAAAAACATCTTCATATATGAACTCTTCAAAATTTGAAGATGCTTAGTCCTAGGAAATTTACAAATAATTCAATAAAAACTAGCTGTCCATCTCTGCACCTCACCAACCCCAAGAGACTATGAAGTTGCACAGGATTTGCTAACTTGCATATGCCAGGATTAATTGCATACCGTAATGCTAATTTTTGATGATGTAGCTGTGGCAAGCTGTTCTGGAACCAAGGGCATTTTATGTGCATGTGTGATAAGCACAGACTCAGAGGACTGCTTGGCATTTTGTCTGTACAGTTCATTTAGGTGTCGGAGTCCCTTTACTAGTGTTATGAAAAAGACTTCAGTTTCTAGAAAAAAAAAATCAAGAACAATTTAATTCCCTCTTCTCCTGGGAAGAGGAAAGGCACGTTATATGCTGCAATAAGAAAAATCTTACCTGAGATCATTCCCGGAGTTACATGCCTGATGGTGGGCATGACTTATCCTACTACTCACACCACTTCCTCGAGATGGGAACTTACTTTCCAAGCCCTGTTCAAATGATCGTGCTGTGTTGATTGACACAGTGGGATAAGTAATCTACCACTTCATGCTCAAGGCCTGCAGGCAGGACATTCACTTGACAGGCACCTCAAACCCTACCTGCAAGTGAATCGTAAAGTAGATATGGGAATTTTATGCAGCTCAGGAGACGATGGAAGCTGACTAGAAGCTGTAGTTCCTTGGTCTAGAGGACCAAGAGGTCCTCTAGAGAATCTCCAACAGAGGACCTCAGTCTAATTCTGTAATAAATTTTAGCAGAATGGGCCCCAAAATAAGCATTTTTTTAAACTTTCAGTCCCCAAAGTCGAAATAGAAAAACCTGAACTGAGTTCAGAGTATCTAAGTTACTCTGTAAGGGGAGCTACCGCAACTCCAGTTCCTACTGCACTCTAGCATTACACTTCAGCACTAAAACTAATTGTACCGACATATGTACACCCCACAGAATCCACATTTTGACAGAGGTACCTGAATGGCATTGGCAGGGCTTCATACCATAGACTTCACCTGCTCCCCATCCCTGCCAAGAAGAAAAGGAAAAGCACTCTGAAGCTCAGTAATGAAGTGGGTCCTTCATTATCCTTCACCCACTATCATATCATCCACATAATTCATCGGGCAAGGGGGAGAAATCGAGACAGCAGTTGGAGGGCGGAAATACTCCACAACCAGTTTCTTTTAATGAATTGTATTTAGTATTTGAATGCCTAAGGCTAGCACTGCTAGACAAATTGCATAATGAATTCTAGTGGAATAAAACATGATTTAAGTACAAAAGCTGGAGGAAAAAATGCTTGCGCTTTCCAGAGGCAATGAGGTATTTTAACTATACAAAATCTGAATGCCCAAAAAGATCTGTAGATCCTCCCCTTTGCACTGTCATCTTTGCTGAACGTTGGGCATTCAATAGTTCTCTCTTTCTGTGTGTGTTTTTCAAAAGGCCAAGGAAAAGTGCATAACCATCTTTGAAGATGAAGAACTTCTTACATCTGTCTTGCCACCTTTTCAGACTAGGAGCTTTAAAATGTTCAACCGCTTTTTCAAGCCATTCTAATATATGGTGGAGGTTTGGATGCGTCTTCCTCTGCATCTAAGTCCTGGGCTGGAAACCGATCTGGGAAGTTAAAAATTCTGTCCCCAGGGCCTGAGTGGAAACAGAGAGGAAACAATTAAACCTGGTCTAGACACTTGCACAAAATCCCAAGTTCCTTTTGGCTGGCAGTATTTTGGTTATCAGGCTTCTGGCCTGGGATGTAAAGCTTATTCAGGATGTTCCTTCCACATCCCTGGTGAATATCCAAATACACGGAGGGAA